CCCCCGCCCTTTGGGAATGACAAGATCATGGGGACCGATGAACATAAGGCTCTTAACAATAACGCTATAAATTTTGACATGTTTTCTCTTTATGGTATCGTCTTACAATGCAGGTATCATGGGTATTCATACATGCACATATACGAGAAAAAAAGATTGTTCAATAGTACCTATGTAAGCCTACTAATAATGGGCCCCAATATAATGCCTCTAGCTCGGAATCGTACGCCATATTACAACTGCAGACAAAACTGATTGTCGCGTACTGTCAAAACGTTGCAAAAACAACGAGGTTGATTTGGGATCTGTCATTATTTTTGAGAGAATCTGATTTTTAAAAAACAATTTAAAAAACCAAAAAAAACCCCCACAAACAACAACAACAAATCAGAAACAACATTCTTTGTTTATATCTATAGAACTCTATATATAGGTCTTGTAATTAGATTCATGCCCGTGATTGAATTATGTATCTGATGTGAAAGTGCATTTTGTCAGTTTTACTTTTCTTTTAATATTGAATTTTAGTGAGAGTACTATTTAATCTAAGTTTTCATGTATACCTGCATGTGTTTTTACCGTCCTGTACAGCCAAGAAAAATGTCCCTTTGGTATAATAAAATACATGTATTATCTTATCTTTTCTGCCTTATCTTTACAATTTCATCTCTTCTCCTCACTCATGCCTCTCTGGGGCGTATTTCTCTCTTACTCATTATCTGCACATTTCTTAGTCAGAGTTTTACGGCACTTGCAACACTATAAGGTCATATAGATGCCGAAGATTAGAGGTATCTCAAGAGAGTAACGAACACAAACAAGAAGGAGGGGAGATAGTTTTAGTAGAGGTTTTACGGCGCTCGTAACTGCATAAGGTCATATGAGCGCCAGAAGATTAGACGTGTTACAAGAGAGTAACAAACGTAAAAAAGAAGGAGGTGAGATAAGGACGATAGATGTTTGATAGGCAAGAAGAAGCAAACCCCACCAGAGCACCTGCCTGGCACAGTTACACTGGTTTATGACATGAAGCTTTGACATGACGTGGTACCATGTGTCTTTCCTTCATGCACAGACACAATAATCTA